TTTTTTTTTTTAAATTAAAAAAAAAAAAAAAAAAAAAAGGAAAAGAGGGGCGCCTGGGTGGCTCGGTCGGTTAGGCGTCCGACTTCGGCTCAGGTCATGATCTCATGGTCCGTGAGTTCGAGCCCCGCGTCGGGCTCTGTGCTGACAGCTCAGAGCCTGGAGCCTGTTTCAGATTCTGTGTCTCCCTCTCTCTGACCATCCCCCGTTCATGCTCTGTCTCTCTCTGTCTCAAAAATAAATAAACGTTAAAAAAAATTAAAAAAAAAAAAGATAAAAAAGGAAAATAGATACAAAATATAATTCGGTTTAAAAATACATTTCAAAATAGTACAGACACTTTAAGGTGATTTTTATCTGCTTTTATTGATGATAAGTATATAACGATAACTTCCTTTTGTCAAGTACCTACCTGTTATGGACTTAATATTTATGTCGTCTAGGTGGCGCCTGGCTGACTCAGTCAGTAGAGCATGCCACGCTTGATCTCAGGGTCCCGGGTTGTGAGTTCAAGCCCTACCTAGGGCGGGGAACCTACTTAAAAAAATAAAAAAAATTCACAGCCCCCAAACTCAGGATTAGTTGTGTATTTGGACACAGGGCCTTTGGGAGACAATTAGGTTTGATGAGGTCATGAAGGTAGGGCCCTCAGGAGTACCTCTGTGAGGTAGATACCAATTTGTCTGCATGGGAAAAATTGGAATTATAGATAGAACTTGGTACCTCACCCCAAATCACACAAACAAGTAGCAGAACGGACATAAAAAGCTAGGACTAACATGATTTCACTCGCATGCAAACACGCATACACTGGCTGACGCGCGCACACAGTGTTCATGGCACAATTTTTAACAATGGATCTATGTATGGCAGGTATACTCGTGATCACTTTGCTGTTCTTTCGAGTTCTCTTTATGCTTAAAATTCAGTATGAAAAGCTGGGAAACGTAATACTTCAATGCTTCATACACACCCCAATGTCTGTCTACCTGAGGCCTCCTCGCGTGCCAACCCCACCCACCTCTCCCACGGACGCCAGGCTGCTGCACACCCTGCCCTTCGCTCTTGCACCTACTCACAGCTCCCCCCCCCCCGACAGCTATTTTCACAGGGTCACGAACCCCTCGGATGCTCGAACTCGGACCACAGGAACCTCAGACGACTAACCCCCAATCCTTTCCTCACCGACCGGACCCCGATGGGCCCCGGGCCCCTGGGTCAGTGGCTCCCCCAGAGCCTCTGTCTACGGCCTGGGGGCGCGTTCCGAAGCACACCTGTCACTGTCAGCAGGAATGGTCTCTCGTCCTAAACACTGATGCCAGCCGAAGACTCCGACAGCCTCCAAACCGCCTTAAACAAGCACCTTCCTACGAGCACCCACCGCAAACCGCAGCTCAGGTCGAGGAATTCCCACAACGAGGGACTCTGAAAGGAGCCTGCAGAAACCTCACAGGACCTCGACCGCGAATCTGTGACCTTACGCCGTGGGAACCCAATCCTCAATACGCCACTTCCGCTTCCGTTCACCTGGTGTGCTGGCCCGTGTCCAGAGCCATTACTCAGATTGAGTAGCACTTTGGAGTGAGCGATCAAGCCACAAACCCTCACTCCGGCCCCGGCTAGAATTACCGCTGGCTAACTCCGCCGCGACGATTTTGCTGCGTATTGGTGGGAGCGGCCATTGTGGATCGTGCCCGCCATCTTGCGTCGTGCGCTGTACGGAGAGCGAGATGGCCACCGTAGGCGACCGGAGTAGGCCGGCCAGACACGAAAGGTGCAAATCCAGCCCATCCTTTCTCCACTTTTCGAGACTTCTCATGTCCGGTTCTTCCACCTCGGCAGCGGCTGTCCGTGCGGTCGCGCATGCTTAGTAGAACCTCAGCGCTCTCTCCTGCAGTCTTCCAACCTCACCGGGACGCTAAGCCAATCACAGACCAGGCCTGAGCCGGAAATGGCCGCTCCCGCTCTGTCTCGTCGCCCTTTGGAAGCCGCTCTGAGGGCGCGGCCATATTGAGAAAGTCTGGATCCGTACAGGGAAGAGCGGACTTCAGGGCTGGGAATCCGGAGGCGTTCACGGCACATTTGAGAAAACGGGGATTAGGAGGCTAGAACTGGATCTGGAGGAGCAGGGGCGGTACGAGGAGAGCGCTCTGGCTGTGTGCTTCGCGATGAGAGACGGTTGTGAAGCATTCACTGGGACCCGAGGTCCACGCCAGAAGATTAACTCTTGTGTCTCGTGTCCCAACATAAACTGAGTACATTAAAGAAGGATCCTGTGTATCCTCGTTAATCACAGCCCACCAGTCATTTGTTTTTGTGAATACCGCACAGATAATGATCCCAGCAGCATTATTTAGTCGGTTTCCCCCACTGCTATGTAGTATCATCTGTCATAAATCAAGTCTCCTTACCTTCATGGCTCTGACTTAGGACGTTCTGTTCCATTGGTCTCTTTGTTTATACCTGTGCCGGTACCACTATGTTTTAGCTATGGGAGCTTTCCAAGTCTTAACAATCCAATAAAGCAAGGTCTCCTACCATATTCTTTTTCTATGAGCCTGTCTTTGTTCTTTAGGCCCTTTATATTTTCAAATAAGATTTTTTAAGTTTATTTTTGAGAGAGACAGAGACTGTGAGTGGCAGAAGGGCAGAGAAAGGGACAGAAAGAATCCCAAACAGGCTCCCACCTTCAGCACAGAGCCTGAAGCAGAGCTCCAACCCAGGAACCATGACATCATGACCTGAGCCAAAATCGAGTCAGACACTTAACCGAGTCATCCAGACACCCCTATATTTTCAAATAAAATTTTAACTCACCTTGTGAACTTCCACACACACAGAAGTGTTTGTGGAAAAAATCTAGAATAGCATTCCAGGGCTATCTCTGTGAAGGGATTGGGACCATTGAAAATGATGAGAAGGAGGAACGCCTGGGTGGCTCAGTCATCTGACTTTGGCTCAGATCATGATCTCCAGGTTCGAGAGTTCGAGCCCTATGTTGGGCTCTGTGCTGACAGCTCAGAGCCTGGAGCCTGCTTCGGATTCCGTGTCTCCCTGTCTGTCTGCCCCTCCCCCGCTTGCACTCTGTCTTTCTCTCCCTCTCAAAAATAAATATTAAAAATTTAAAAATGCTGTAAGGGTGTTTACTGGAAAGGGATAAATAGGGCTTCTGGAATGTTCTATGGCTTGATCTGAGTGGTAGCACATAATTGTTAACACATGGGTGTTGCCATTTTATGTTAAACTAATACATATGTGTGTGATTGTATTTAATATACTTTTCTGTATGGTATATTCTAGAATACAAATGTTTTAATAATTGTACATACTCCACTTTACACAGCTGGCAACTAGGTAGAATTAATAGATTTTTAGTTACAGGCAACAACTGCCTTCACTTTTATGAATACTTCACAGAACCAAATAGCTTAAACATCCCAAAAGAGAGGATTGTGTTTGGGGTACCTGGCTTGCTCAGTCAGTGGAGCATGTGACTCTTGATCTTGGGGTTGTGAGTTCGAACCCCACATTGGGTGTAGACATTACTTAAAAGTAAAATCATTAAGGGGCACCTGGGTGGCTCAGTCAGTTGAGCGTCTGACTTGGTTTTGGCTCAGGTCATGATCCTGAAGTTTGCAAGTTCAAGCCCCATGTGAGGCTCCACACTGACAGTATGGAGCCTGCTTGGGATTCTCTCCCTCTCTCTCTGCCCCTTCCCTGTTCTCGCTCACTCTCTCAAAAAAAAAAAAAAAATCTTAAAAAAAGCAGGGGGGGGACACTTGGGTGGCTCGATGGTTGAGCGTCCGACTTTAGCTCAGGTCATGATCTCACTGTTGGTGAGTTTGAGCCCCACATCAGCACAGAGCCCACTTCGGATCCTCTGTCCTCCCTCTCTCTATCCCTCCCCTGCTTGTTCTTTCTCTCTCAAAAATAAATAAATCTTTTAAAAATATAAAAAATACAGACAGAGAGGATTGTGTTTAGCTAGGCCCAAGTGTCTGGTCTAGGAGCCAAAAAGCTCATGTGAAAAGAGCACTATCCTAAGAGCTCCCATTTCCCCCTCCTTTTCATTTACCTGCTAGATCTTGAGTGTTGAGCTCAATTGTATCATTCTTTTCACAGAGGCATTAAAGGACTCTGGTCTTCAATTTGCCCAACTTAAAGGACTATGGTTGTTCAGTCCCAAGACCTAGTAACCATGTGGAAGCTAATACAGTAGGGCCTGATTCTGAACACGGTCATAGGATTTTTAAATTTCATGAAGGTTCTGTTGCTGCTTTATATTGTATCTTTGGCTTTGGGGGCTTCCTGGCCCCAGGAAGCTTCACTGTGGCTTTCTTGTCTGACACTTTCATTGAAGTGAGGTTTCTCTTTTCAGTATCTGGGCCTTATTTTTTTCCAAATACCACACTATCAAAGGATTAGCATCAGAAAGACACTGTGGTTTGTAGGAGAGTATCTTTTATTATTAGAAGATTCAAGTTGAAGGCTCCTGGATGGCTCAGTTGGCTGAACATCTGACTTTGGCTCAGGTTCATGAGTTTGAGCCCCACATCTGGTTCGCTGCTGTCACAGAGCCCACTTCGCTTCAGATCCTCTTTCTCCCTCTCTCTCTGCCCCTCCCCCACTCGTGTTCTCTCTCTCTCTCTCTCTCTCTCTCTCTCTCTCTCTCCCTCTCAAAAATAAATAAAGAAGATTCTAATTGAAGTATTTGGCAGCGAAGGATCATATGTCTGCAATCTTACTTTCAATTAGTTCAATCAAAAGTAGATTGGGGGGTGACTGGGTGGCTCAGTTGGTTAAGCATCCGACTTTGGCTCAGGTCATGATTTCATGGTTCACGTGTTTGAGCCCCACATCGGGCTCTCTACTGTCAGTGCGGAGCATGCATCAGATCCTCTGTCCCTCCCTCTCTCTCTCTGCCCCTCCCCCACTCATGTTTTTTCTCTCTTCCTCTCTCAAAAATAAATGAACTTAAAAAAATGTTTACTTTAAAAAAGCAGTAAATTGGATAGTAGAGATGGATGGATAAGTAGAAGATACACAGATAAAGCAAATACAGCAAAATGTAACATTTACTGAACTTATGTGATCTATATAATGGTGTCCACTGTACTATTATTTGAGTTTTTGTATGTACATGAGGATTTTTATGATAAAAGGCTTGGGAAACTACTAGTGACTGCTTTTGGATATGTACCTGATTCTCCTTAGTGTGTTTGTTTGCAGTTGGGAGGAAGTGGGAGAAGAAAGTAGAGGTTCTGTCCAAACTTAGATTACTGGTAGAAATCAGCACTCATCTGGAAGAACCCATTCTACACTCATCCCCAGGGAGAAGCAGGGTTTCTGTCTGGCTTCCTGGACTGAAAGCCTGCAGGGAAGGTAATGAATTGACGCTACTTGGGAGTATGTGAGCTTCTTGGATGTATAGAGTGTTTTCATCAAATTTGGAAGCTTTTGTCATTATTTGCTCAAATATACCTTCTGCCATGTATTCTCTCCCCCTTCTAGGGATTCCATTATGCATATGGTGGTATGCTTGAGGGTGTGCTATAGATCTCTGAGGCTCGGATCACTTTTTCTTTTTCTTTTTTTCTACTTCACTTTTTCCTTTTTCTCACAGTGGATAATGTTTATTGATCTTTCTTCGTGTTGGCTTGTTCTGTCTTGTGCCAGATCAAATTTGCTCTGAGCCCCTCTAGTAAATTTATCGTTTTTATCTCTTTGTTGATATATGCCATTTGGTGAAGAACCATTATCATACTTCCCTTTGGTTCTTTAGTTTTCTGCTCCTCGAACACACTTCTAACAGCTGATAATGTCATTGTGTATTAAGTCTGACACACAAGACCTCTCGGGGACAGTTCCTATGGACTCCTTTTTTCCTTGTGTATGGGCCACACTTTTCTGATTCTTTGTGTATCACAAATTTTTATTGAAACTAGACATTTTAGATAATATAAAGTTGCCCCCCTTGCCTCATGGTTTGCTGCGGTTACTGTTGTTGCAATTTGTGTGTTTGGTCATTCCTGGACTAATTCAGTAAAGTCTGTTTTCACTGTAGAATGTGGTCACTGAAATCCTTGCTTGGCTATCAGATTAGTCAGGGATTTCCTTAGCTGCCTTGGAAGTCTTCCCCTTTTGCCAAGAATAATTTGTGTGTTGAGGCACCACTTCAATGCTGAGGCAGGTGACAGTTTGGCCATGCTTCCATCAATTATTTCAAAGAAAAAAAAATCACAAAGTGCTGAGACAATATAGACATTTATGCATTATTATATTTGATTGCCTTCTAAGCGAAGCTGAAAGCCTCTACATGACTACGACGTCATGTAAATCTTTTTGTCATCAGTATCTTGGGTACGTGTCTGTCACGTTCTAGACAGCCCTATATCTTTGCTTGAGTCAGTGAATAACCAGATTCTTTGAAGAAAAGAGAAAGTGTTGTGAATGCATCGTTAGTAACTCGGGATTTTTCCCCGCACCATTTAAGAGCAGAATCTCAGTGCTTGGGGATCTCGATGCAACAGTATCAGGGGGCTGAGGGTGGGATAAGATGCCGCCAGAAAGGTGGTGGTTTGCTGCATCCAGAGGTGAGACTTGAACAAAACACTGTAAAATGTAAGGACAGAATTGGTGAAGTAAAAAAATGTGAAGGTGCTTGCTAGAAGCAAGATGGTTTGAGTGGCTCTCCCCTCTGGAGAGAATCTGTGGGCGTTTTTGAGGGTGTGAATGTGCCTCACTCTCCGGTGGTGTCTATGAAGGAAAAGTACCGTGTAAACACTGGCCCCAATCATGGCTCCCATGAAGACAACATCTGGGAAAGTCATTAGAATTGTGTATTTTGTAGCACCAGGTGTTTCGGGAGTTTTAGAAGAGCACAGTCCATAATCCTG